ACTGGATGCAGTTTTTCCTTTTGTCTTGTCCTATGTCCTGAGAGCTTGGCTATGTGACCAGCAAAAATGTTTCCCTCTGGTCTCCACCCTCTGGAAGGTGCCCTCAGCCAGGTGCATCTGGTGGCCAGCCGCGGAGCCTGGGGAATTCCTGGCAGCTGTATCCAGTGGAACAGAAACACAGGCACCGACCTCAGGCTTGCGACCGACAGCTGTAGCCAGTCAACCGGCAATTTCGCGCTGTTTTTGTCGAACCACATCAGCTCTCAGGGGGTTCACCATGAGGAGTCTCAGCTCATAAGGGGCCTATTGCGTCTCAACCTTTGTTGCTTTGCCACCTCCAGCAATGAAATGTTACTGTCTTAGACTACTCTGAGAATGAATTTTCTGCATCTTGGTCTTTGTCTTTGGTTAAGCCAAAGAAGGTGTATTGATTTGACTTGCTATTGAGATGAATAGATCTTACTGTCAATAGCCAAACAACAGATGCTTTGAATCGGAGAAACCGCTGACCTGGGACATTTTAAAAAGAGCTCTCATCATAACAGCTGTTTTATTGGTACCCATTAAACTGAAATATGGATACCAAGAAATATAATAGCAGGCTCCCTTTATTTGAGTAAATGAAACTAGATAAAAGGTTTGACTAGAGAAAGGTTAAGATAATTAGATAAGTCAATCAACCTATTATATCATTCAGCTGGTAACTCAGTTCTTTGAAGAATTCAAAACAATTTTATTCTCTTGCCTAGGGAGATTAAAAGCAATCTCAGGACAGGGACTTTGATTTACTCATCTTTATATTCCCAAGACACCCAAAGGAGTAAAGTAATAGGCACATAATAATTATTTGGAGAGTTAAAAAGAAGCACTTGACACTCATAAATGCATAAAGTTACTTTATTTTAAGTATACATTTAATTTTGAAAAATATAAATGCTAAAATATCTCATCTTCTTCATCTCTTAATTCCATAAAAGTCACAATAGAAAGCTTCATAAAACTGTAAAATACTATGTTGTTATAGGAATTTTAGGCTTTATATTGGAAAAAATTATTAGTAATATATTGAAATGTTTTCTGTTCTTTATCATTTTGTTCCACCATGTTGATCTACTTCATTTAAAATAAAAAGATGCATCATTTCTCCAAAGTTAATAAAGACTTAAGAGAATAAAAATATCTGAAAGTGCATATTGATTCTGAAAAGTAATGTGTACGAATATGTACCAGCCATGAAAATGGCTAAAAAGAGGCAACTATTCACTCTTTTCACATTGTAGGAATGGGACAAAGTTACTTCTGGCTCTAAAAGTTTCACTGGATGACATTAGCCCTGAGTTGCAATATTTGCCTAGGAAATAGAATTTAGGATTTTTGGATGTACCCACAGAACACAAAGAAATGAGCCAAAAATAGGACATATCCAAATGTCTGGTCAAAACGCAAATCAATGTTTGCATTTTATCACAAAACTGTATTTCAGACTGCAGTGAAGCTCAATGAAGTCATCACCTGAACACTTCCCAGGCCCTTCACATAGTCAAGGGCCATAAAATATCACTGGATTGTACTCAACCACTTGGTGCCCCTGGGCTTTGTGCTCACACTGTGAAGAGCAGCTGTGAAATATGGAATAAATAAGAAAATCTCATGTTCCTGCACCAAAATTGTTAAGTGGTATGAAGAAAAGGATTGAAGAAAGCTTTGTCCCATCCCTGAACAATGCCAACCTCTGTAATACAACTCAAATAGTTCTGTTTTTTAAAAGATAGTCAGCAGTCAATACAATTCAAGTACTTTAACATAGTTAAAAAAAAAAAAGAACCAAAACTTGGAAGACAATCGTTCACTGTATCAAACACCAGTATAGAGCTGATAAGAGATTTACTCTATGTGTGCTGGTGCAGTGCATAAAATAGACAGGGCGGAACTACTGAAGGCAGACATTCCTCGCTCTCCCCCATTTGTGAGGTGGGGGCCGATTAGAGAGCGTTTTTTTTCTCTACTTCTTTAAGCCTCCACCCCCTTCCCCCACTCCACAGCTTCGCTGGGAGAACCTTCAGGAACACTACTGCCTATGGCACATGAAGTTATCAGGGTTCCAAGTCCTAGTTTCATCCAGTAGATAAGAGTGACTTTTATCAAGGAAAACTGTGCCTCCAAGGGATTTTCTTTCAAATGCAAACACAGAGATGTTTTTGCTCCCATAAGGCAGACTCTTGACCTAGTGATCCTTCCTCCGACAAGAAGTCTATACAACCATGTGCTTCTGGTTAGCAATTCTCGGTGTACACTTAGTTCTTTACTTCTCACAACTTACATTTCTTTCTCCATATTCACATCAGGGAGGAACACTGTGTAAAATTTTACTGGTGTATTCTGTGTATCCAGTTTACATAGAAACAAAACCACACAATCTGGTTACTCCTTAATACATAATTTTCATTAAAATAGAGATAATTTGGTGACTCTGTGTAGACCTCTGTTTTTTTGTTAACTGCTTCTATTCCTCAGAAAGTTATCATTTTAAAATACTTCCCTGGGTTCCAAAACATTGAAAAGATTTGATACTACTAACTGATCCTTTTAGCTGACATAATGTACTATTCTGCATTTATATTGTATCAACCTGTGATTGAATACGGACCATAAACAGAGGTGCAGTTAGCTTTTAGATCTACTCCAAGGCAGAAATACTGGGTTAAGTAGTTTTAAGAGTTTTTTGAAAGGACTGAAAAGTGGCATGAATCTTCAGATATTTGATTCATGATCAAAAAATTAAATTATTTTATCTAGAGAATTTATAAAACTGAACAAAAATGTCACTAATTTAATAATATCTTAGGCTAGGCTCAACATGTTATGCATGGCTGTTAAACATATAATTGATGCTCCCATCAGTTAAAAAAAGAGAAAAACTTCTTATTTTAGAGTAATTAAAAAAACTAGATAATATAGAGGAATCACTTCAAGGCTGGCCATAAATATAAACGGGATGCCATAATTTGGCATGAGCGGTTTTAATAAATAACAGGTAATTTGCCACCTTCATTTGAATGAAAAAGTTTTAAGTCACTTTTGTCTAATTTGTATAATAGAAAGTCTTCAGATTATCAGATACTATAAAAGTAACAGCTAGTCCAGAATGAATTTTTTATAATCAAAATTTTAAGAGGGCAGAATTACAACTTAATTAAGAATTAGTAGGAGTCAACATATATATGTGATGAAACCAAGACAGGTGGCTCCGTCCTGTTTTGTGCCCCCCCCAACATCTGTTTTAGTTAGGACATACCACGGAATATGGTGTAAATCCAAAACTGACTCCAACATTTAAATGTTTTTAATGCAGATTCATAATACATATTTCAACCTATTAAAACGTTATATTTAAATAACGTAATTTAGTTACGATTTTCTTTTTTCTAATTTTCAAATTATTAATTACTAACACATACATGTTCTAAACCTCCCAATCACAAGGAATAATTGCCTTTCTATCCTAACGAATGTGTGAGTCTTACTAAAATGTATACACATATACCTTTGCAGATCCATCTGTAGTCCTCTAAACACTTTGTAGATGTGAAAATGGCCTACTGATACTTCTGTGGATTTTATATTATAAATATGGGCTATTTATACTGATGGCTACTGATATCTGGATAGTAAAATATATTCACCCTCATTTGCACACTGGTAAGTCTCTTGGGCCTCTGATGGATTTTTCATATGTGGTTTGGGTTTTATGAAAACTGACACAAGAGGCTGCGTAACTTTGCCCTTTGCTCACCATCATTCTGTCCCTAACTTTGCACATGTGTGCACCAGCCACACACAGAGTATGTACACAAACACACAAATATTTCAAAATGAAAAAATATATCTAACAATACTGCATGGGACATTGACTTGGTAATACAATTAGCATCTATGCCTGGATACTACTATTATCAAAACATTAGTTATTTCCATTACGTATGAGTTTCTCCCTTCTTCCCCAGTCTCCTTCATAGAACAGATAAATTTCCTTTAAAGAAAAAGAAAAATGGATGCTTAGAAACGCAGTGTTTTTCATCTGATCTAGCCCTCTGGCTTACCCTAAAGATTGTGTATTTGTGTTTACGTGTGTAAAAATCACATTATATACAATACAATTTTTACAGAAAGCCTGGCAGCTACAAATAAGAGGTAGAACTACTCAAACTATGTTTCCTGCTGCAGGAAAAAATTCATTTTTCTTTACAGTAATTAAAAAAAAGTTTAAAAAATTGACAAAAAATAAGTTGCAGGTTAGGCCCCATAATTTAAACAACAAAATCTTGGAAGAAAAATAGTCTTCAAATGTACTCAACAGATAAGTTCATTAAAGGGTTAAAAAAAGTTGCATAGGAAAAAGGGACATTCCAGTACTTGCTACAATGACGGCAATAGTTTCTCTACAGGAAATAAAGTACCGATAGTTTCTCTTCTTTTGATAACTCTAGGATTAGGGTTCATAAGCAAGAGCAAGTTAGAATAGCAGCACTTTGCCAGTTCTGGAGAGCTCTATAAGCACGAAGAAACTCTGTCTGAAGGTCAAGGTTTGTTTTACTAGACAGAGTGACAAGCCAATAAGCACAGCTCCAAAGCTAAAGTGGTAAGTTCCTTCAATACTTGAATAAAAGGTGTTATAAAATCCTTAATACTTCTGCCCTCTGCTTAAAAAGCAAAAGGAGGGTCTGCACATGTCTTGCGTGACAGAGGAATTTGGTTGTCAGAGGACACATCTGAACGTATGAGAACAAGGGGACTCTTCAGATGTTGTTTTTAAGGAAAGGTGCACTGTTGTCTTAATTTTACCTTTGCAAGAGAGAAGCAGAGAGAGCATTGTGTTATTCGGCCAATGGCCAAAAACAGAAATGAAACATTAAAAAATAAACAATCAGACCAAAAACAAGAACAGGAACAATAACAGTTGTTAGTCTGAAGAAAGACAAACAGGTTACAATGTAGTTTCTGTTCCCTTGTTCCTCCAGAAATAATCATTGTCTTCAGGCTCAAGTTCTATTCTGATTTGAGGCACAGCTTTTCCTGGAGTTCTAGAAGGACTAGAGAAAAAAAAAAAAAAGAAAGGAAACAGTAAGTAAATCAGAGTTCCTTCATCATCTGTCCAAAGCATTGTACGGAGGCCAAACGTGCCTTTCTTCTCTTGAAATACGTATCCCCTCTTTCTGAATTAAAGACAAACATTTTAAATGGGATGAAGGTAGCAATAGAGTCAAGATATTCAAGTAAAAAAGTTATAAGCTCTCATACCTAGATTTAAAAAATAAAAAAACCAAGAAGGTGGAATGCGAGGTGGGTGATACTGTCAAATTAATGGACAAAAAGAGTTACATGAAGAAAGTATTCTGGGATTATACTTTTTTGATAATCGAGTGTAGGATCTGAACTCTCTAGAGCCATGTGAAGAAGGAAGGAAACTCCTGGAGAAGAGCTTCCAGGAAAGGCGGCTACCCCTTAAATTGGAAATAAGATGGAAATACTAAGAGCTGACATCGATGCTAGGCTTTATCTAAATGATATTGAAAGGTTTCAGTATTTCTGAGAGTAAGTAGGGTATGTCTCTCAGACAACTTTCTACCAATGAAAACTGGGGCAAGGTTTGATGATTGGGTAATTTATTTAAGATAAATTGTAGAGAGGAAGGAGAACAAGGTGTTCTGCCAGTAACCCGCCATTGACTCCGTTTCTGTGGGGCAATCGCCCCACAGAACAATGTAAGTAAAAACACTGGGCTGCTCTTTACCTTGGCATACCGAGTGACTGAAGAAAAGGAATTTTATCAGCATGATGTGTGGCGTTCAAGGAATGTTGGTGATCTTTCTCCTGGAACAAAAAAAAAAAAGTCTTTGGTAACCATAAAGAGTAGTCTTTGGTTATATGAAAAACTAGAGTGAAAATGAAAGCCTCCACAAGAGTTGACGCATCTTTCACAGTTGGGAAGAGTGAGAAAGGCAAGTTGAGGGAAGTTCCACAAACACTGTGTGAAGGCTGGAATCCAAGCAGTGCGCCGACGCCCACATCTCTGTTTCCTCTCCTCTGCGTGTTCCAGGAAGAACCACTGCTGTTCTCTTCAGTGAAGGGGTAGGAGGTGAATCGTGTTTAGAGATGAGAAATAAAGCCAGAACACAGTTGGAGGAACTTGAATTAAAAAAGGAAGACTTAACTAAACCCCACTGATAGAACTGAGAAGAAACTAGGCTCAGTTACAAACTATAGGTTACATGCAGATTGGGCCCTGAAGGTGGGAGTGTTTTAATTCTTTAAATTTAACGCGATGGCTAGATTCCAAGATGGTCCCCAGGCTCCCCGCCCACTGGTATTTGCATCCTTGTATAATGACTCCCTACGTTGTACCAGAGTTGGTTTCCGTGACCCACAGAATGGATGATGTACTACTTAGTACTATTACTACTCAGTACTACTGCTGAGATTCAGTTATAAGAGATGGTGGTTTCTGTCTTTGTTTCACACTCTGTGTTCACTGGCTCTGATGGAAGCCTTGTCATGCCTGGGCAGCCCTATGAAGATGCCCACAGGCCAAGGAACTGAAACTTCCTGCCAACTGCCTTGTGAGTGAGTTTGGAAGCAGGTTCCAGTCAAGTCTCTAGACTCAGCCCCAGCTGAGAGCTTGACTGCAATCTCATGAGAGACCCAGACCCAGAACCACCCAAATCAGCCACTCTTACATTTCAGAATATCAGGAACTGCATTAGAAGATACGTGTTTGTTGTTTTCAGCTGCTAAATTGTGTAGTAATTTGTTACACAGCGGTAAATAACAAATACGTATTTTCATAAATGGTTATTCATTTCAAACTTTTCCTGGTTAGCTATTATGGAAGTTGAAGTGGCACTGTCAAAGAGCAGTGCTAATGTCTCAAGTGCTTTTTTTCCTGCAGCAGAGCAGTAGACTTTGAAGTGCATCTGGATCTAAAACAAGACATTTTCTTCAAATGAGAACCCTGCGTGGACGTTAGTTTGGAGGCAATTGCTCCTTGCTATTGGAAAAGCTTGAGATATACTCACTAATGTTTCTATGGATGTTTTCCTCTTTTTAAGGGGGCTTATTAATTACAGAAGAAATGGTGACATATCAGAAGTCATTATACCTCAGCCATCAAGCTCTTACCTCGGGTTGAGGGGGTGGAACAGTGCAGTTACAATGCTGATTTTGAAATAGCAGAGGGGGAATGAGGAAAGTAGGAAGAAAATGCACAAATCTTATCATTTATACCTAAAAAGTCCTGTTGATATTTTATGATTGCCAATTAAATTTAAAATAACAAATTATTCCAAATTCTCGATATTAACAATTGATTCAGTGATCATTGAGAGACCATATTGCAATTTCCCTTTTGAGCTGATCTGGTAACTGGTTGAATCCTAAGGAAGACAAACAGTAACAGACAGTGAGGTAGTACTGTAAGCTGGGATTCTAAATATCAGCCGAAAAAAGAAAAATCAATGAAAATAGGGTTATGAGTTTAGCAACTGAAGGAAACTGGTGATAACTTGGGTCAGAGAAAAAAACTACTAAGCAAAAAACTTAAAGGGGTATGGGTAAAAGGAAGAAAAGGGAAGCTTGGAGGATGTAAAAATAATTAGGTATAAATCTTCACAGAGAAAAGTTAATGCAAATGATAGCTCTAAAGTTTTTTTTTTTTTCTCTGCAAGTGCAAATCATATTAAGGCAGGCAAGCAAGAGGTTAGTTCTACTCACTGTCGGAAGGTTTGCTATCACTTAGGAAAGGTTGTTGTTCCATGATGTCCATTGGAATTTTTATACTTGGAACTTTTTCTGAGTATGGGCAGTCAGACTGTGAAAGAAATTTATAACAGTTTTAAGAAAGGTGTAACCATACAGTCCTCTTTACCTTCCAGAATTGATTAAGCCAATCCTGTTATCATTTACATTGTACTAAGGAGAAAAGCTTTAGATCTAATCATTCCCACTTTGCTAGCTCTTCAAATTCTACACTATCATTCTATGTCTCATTTGTTTTCCTTCCTTTGGAGTTGATGGGACTGAGTCAATTAAAACTCAAACTGCACCAAATGGGAATCAATACAAATTGGACCAACTGGAAAGCTTTTCATAGCTGGATTCCCAATCAGCAAATATTTATGGATTTGTTGTATTATGTACACTTAGAAAAATGACTTAATATTTCTCAGTGTAAATTTCCTTATCTGTAAAATAGGAACAAAGATATATACTATAAATAGCAGTTATGGCAAGGAAGGATAAGTATGGGTGATTAGTCAGAATGATCAATTATAAAAAACACACCAAAAATTAACCACACTCCCACTTTAGGGTGGGAATGGGGATACTGCACTGTGTAAAAAAATCCAGAACAAATCTTTACATAAAAAATGTCATTTTGACAGTCCTTTTGAAAGGCTACTGGGATAAGCTCTGTGTGTGTGTGTGTGTGTGTGTGTGTGTGTGTGTGTGTGTTTTAAACAAACCTCACCTTTTTCCTAGCACTAATTACAGACTCCTATTGGAGTACTTCTATTTCTGTGAAATGGTCTCCTAAAGAAAAAAAAATGGGCATTTTATTTTTCAACTTAATCACCCAATTGCAGGAGGATCATCTAGACTCTGAGATGGACTACTACAATTTTGTAAAAAGACACTAAACTCCAATTCCCTTGTGTTATTGAAGGGTTACAGAGAAGTGATCCAAAATCGTGTCAAAGCCCCAGTGCAAAGGTAAGTACAATACCAGAGAACTTTGGTTGAGAGCCTACTCAAACATAGATCACAGGAGGTGAGGTCACCTGCATTTGTACACGTTAGCCTTAACAATACTTAAAACTGAATTATCTCACATTTAAACCCTGGAGTATCAATAGCAAATCAACTACATTTTATAGAATTATTAAGCAAACAATTTTAGCTATGAGATCAGAGATTGGAATTCTTTAGATGTGATGGGCTTTTTTTGTTGGGTTTCAGAAGTCATGTTAACATTTTCAGTGTATCAATGGTTAAAAAAATGTTTCATAAAATACCAAAAAAAAAAAAACCTAAAGAGAGAAAATTAAGGGCAAAGGAAGGTGAAGACTAGCATGTAACATGGCCGGGCAAGCATTCTTGGAACTCAGCCACACCTCTCACAAGAGGGGTCAAAAAACTTGATGTTTCACGTTTGTTTCTTTAATGAGCTTTACTTTGGAATTTTGGAAAGTGCCTCACATCGTCATTGTCACTGTCCAGACTCCCTTTCTTCTTTTTCTTTTTCTTTTCATCTTCCTTCTTTTTCTTGTCCTTTTCTGGAATGACATCATCAAGGAAGCTGAGGTCATGCTGGGAGAAGAGGTAGTCCATGCCTTTTCTGACAGCTACAAGTGCCAAGATCTGGAAGAACAAATATGAAAAATATGAAAGAAACCAAGTCAGATGAAGTCATCATGATATAAATACAATCCTGTCAAAGGCAGTTGAAACCTATTCTGCATAAGGCTGGAGGATGACGGAACTGAGCTTGCTGACATGGGCTTATATTAAGTGGACCATAAACATTTTCTTCAGGGAGAAAATTGGCTCATAAAAGTTTTAATTGAAACTCACTTTGTTTTGTTCACCAAAATGTGTAGTCAAATTCACTTAGAACTTCAATGTGAAAGAATTACTTTTTAAACTATTTTCTTCCATGTCTGCTTTTCAATAACTAAAAAGTTAAAGGAACAAATAGCCTGCATTTGATTTGTAATTATGCAAAATTAAAACACTGTACAAGGTTTTGAAAAATCAGGAAAATCTGTGCAACATACAGTACACCAAAGCATCTTCAAAGTATTAATAATGAGGCAATAGTGGAGTATGCATAGACCATTTAAGCTACTGGGTAATTTCAAAAACTACCATTAACTGAATACTTACCATGTTTTAGATGCTGTACTAAAAGTCTTAGGCAGTATTTTCTTATTTATTCCCACAAGAGACCCAAAGAGTAGACACCAAGATCTCCATTTCACAGCTGAGGAAACTGAAGCTTAGAGACATAAGTATGTCCTCTAAGATCACTAAGCCGGAATACGGAAGAGTATGAAGGGGCCCAGCTGTCTGCCACTAAGATCAGTACTCTTAAAGTCCCTATCTTTGATTCTCTAAGTAGCTCTTGAAGATCAACTTCTGCAGGTACTTTAAAGATGTCCTTGCTCAACAGTAAAACTTGTGTGCACTAGAAAACAAGGGTCACGACTCTGCTTCCAATAAACAGTGGTCTTTATCTGTGTCCTCTCCAGATATCAGTTTCTTCATTTCCTAGAGAAATCAATAACATCTGACCTACTGACATTACATGATTGTTTTGTGATCAAAGCCCTCAAAAGATAAAAAATGCTTCATAAAGGTAAAACTTTTTATTATTATTTAGCACAAGTAATAAGTGATTTGCTGGATATATTTCAAATTTACCCGTCTAACTGTTTTCTCCTAGCTTTAGCAAAACTAATGAATAGGTTGACTATACCAATAGGCAAATGGGAGTCATTTCTCACACTCGGTGTGTTTTCCAGTAAGTTACTAGAGTTTAAGAGAGGGGTTGGGGCACTGGGTAAAAAGGTGAAGGGATTAGGAAGCACAGATTGGGAGTTACAGAATAGTCGTGGGGATGTAAAACACAGCATAGGAAATGTAATCAGTGATACTGTAATAACTATGCATGATGCCAGGTGGGTACAAGAGATATCAGAGGGAATATTTCATAAAGTATATGATTGTCTAAACACTATACTGTACACCTGAAACTAATATACAATATTGAATGTAAACTATAACTGAAATAATTTTTTAAAAATAAAATAAAAACAAAAAAGAAAGAAAAAAGATATAAGGAATCATGGAGAAAATATATCTGATTCTACAAATATCACTAGTACTTTATACCATTTTTCCTGCTTCCCTGGAGAAAAAAACAATTATAAACCACAAGTACCCCTAAAACAAAATAAGAATCTGGCTAAGAGAATTTTTATTAAAAAATCAAATATGGTTTATGTATGAAAATTCTGTTTACAAAGCCATAGGGTGACAGAGCAGACACGAGGCTGGCCTTGTGACGTGTTTCAAGGGTTTGCGTGTGTCTGTTCTTGCAAGGAAGGGAAAGCTATGGGAAAGCATAAAATTCAACCCTGAAACCAAGTGCAGAGCTAGCATGTTCTTTTTTTCTTTCTTTCACTTGTGATTCAGAGGGCAATGTCGGTTATTTTACCGTGTTTCTCATCATTTCATAGCAAGGATAAAGAGCCCAGACTTAAACTTAGCATGACACACACCAGCAAGAAGTTCAAAAACTAAACTTACTCCACCCCTTCTGATTTTAACTTTCCTAGGTTGCCCAATTTGTTACTGTTATTTGGACTGAAATGTGCCATACTTCGTTAGACTGATTCTGTTGTACAACAGTATTTTAAACATAATTAATGTGTACTGGTGTCTGCTATGTGCCAGGTATTATATTGTATATTTGATATTCATTACTAATGCTCAGAATAACAGTAACGATGCATTCCCCATTTTAGTGATAAGTTAATGACAGCTCAGAGAGGTTCAGTACCAGCAGAAACCAGGACTGGTATCTAAACTCAGCTGAGTCTGACTCTGTGGTCCAGTGTAGACATCCCACACATAGGAGCCTTCCGTTACAATTGGGCAAATCAAAGTGATTCGGTCAAAGCTGGAAAAACTTGGAACCACACATAAAAGACAACTGTCTTCCATATTACAATAACCGCATGACACAGGTATGACCTTTTGGGTACATTCAATGAAAGGAGTCCCTACCATGACTGGAAAAATGATAGCAGCCACAGTTGACTTGAGAATCCAGAGCAGGGCTAGACACAGCACCTGCAGGAAAGTGAACAGGTGGACTCTGCGCAGAGGGACGTGGCGCAGGTAGATAAAGTCGGGCTGATGCTTCAGAGGCATCAGAAGCAGCTTCAGACGATCCATGAACTGGGGAGGAGACGGGAAGAGAGTACAAGTGCATTACTTCGAGAGGATACACAAAGTCACTTCCATTATGCCTAACAATCCGCTAGTGAGTTATTTCTGCAATTTGGGCGAGCAGTGTCTTTTTCAGAGAACAGTGTTCATGGAGTGTAGAAATTTAGTCTATCACAGTTAGACACTGTATGACTTCTCACTTTTATTACTTTGCAGCAATGTTATGCAGATATATGAGACAAAGTGGCCACCAAGAATAAAGTCACAAATAAGATATAAATTCTAGATGCTCATCTCCTGCTTTCTACTCATACTATCTGAGTCTTGGGAGAAATGATCTTGTAGCTTTTAAAATAATGATACGATGAAGTAAGACACCTAACTCATGTATCTTACTCTAGCTTTGTTGTCTTACCTGCAAGAGGAGGAGATGCGGCTATGCATCATTTACATGTCAGGGATGTTTCAAGGATGTAAAGAAGTAGGTAACTTGAAAATGGGAATGCACTGGTATTTTCATAAATTCCACATTATCTACGGCATAACGTAACTAATACATTCAGCAATGCATTACCATTTTTTAAGAGAATAGTCAGATGAATATTGAGTTTCAGAGTGTCAACAACTAGATATTCGAGTCCTAGAGAGGCCCTCACACTGTCATGTATGAAGAGGTATTAAAATGACTGCTGAGCACCTATGTGCCGGGTGGTGTGCTTCAAAGAATTACTACTGAGCTTATATTATGGATGATGTTAAGGACGATATTTTGGTACCTATCATAGGATCTTTCAGATGAAAGAGGCTCAGTACATAACTGCTGAATTAAATTATGTAATAAGAACTCTGAAGTAATACCTCTGCTCTATTTCTGGAGAGAAAGGAGATGTGTAAAAGTAGACTACCACGGATAATAATTTCTGAAGTGATTTCCTAGCTAAAGTGTTTTCTTTCTTCCTCCATGGCTATTTTTAATGGGTTGGAGGCCTTGCTGCTTACAAAGACTTGGTTACAAAATTTCTTGCCAAATCAAATCCTGCCAAAGTTCTAAAAGAGGAAGAATCAAGAGAAAAGTAAGGAAAACAGAAAAGGCAATAGATTCAACAGCACCACAGAATTTTAAAAATCTACTAACTTCCCCTTCAGCAAAGGATTCTTCCCATCTTTATGAAATTGACTTTTCTCTTCTACTGAATAAACACGAACTAAACTCTAACCAGCAAATAAGAACCTAGAATGCATAAAGTCAAACTTCTTACCTAGATGGGCATATTAAAGCCCCCCAAAATTAAGGACTATTACTCTGAAGGTAATATTAATTTCATATTCTTCCACTCAGAATAATAAAGAATATTTACAATACCAGGTACAAATGAGATATTTTTATACACTTATCTTTCCAAAAGTTTTCTGGGCACAAATAAACCCACATTCATATTCACCTAGTCCAATCCATGAAGAACCACCTTGTATTTTGTAACAAATACCCAAATGATGAGGAACTCTACCCAACAGGCCTAAATAAGGAAAAATAAAGTGGCCTTTTCTCTTTTGGGGAGTCTGGCCACTTGCCCAGCTCCATCTGACTCTAAAACCAAATTAATCTAAATTCAATAAATGAAAGTAAGAACTATTATGGAGGGGTTTAAATAAATTCTTAGGATGTTCGCGGAACATGCAGTCTTTTCCCATTAAAACATTGCGAAGTGCTAAATCAGGCTACAATTAACAAGGTGCCAGAAAGCAGCAGAAGCACTTCCAGTTTCCTCATGCCAATTAAATTAAAACTCAATTGGAAGCCAAAGTCCCTTACAAAGTTTTCCCCATTGATTTTTATAAAAGGGGCCAGTTTTTACCAAAGTTGTGAATAGCTGAAAATTTCAACAGAAGTCACACATTAACCACACTTTTTTTTTTTTTATTGGTTCAAAACTTTTGATCATCGAGTTCAGTCATGTGAAAAGTACATCAAATAAGAATAGCCTGCTCTTAGTGTAGGGTCAAGGCAGGTGGGTAAACAGTATCTCAAAGAGCACAATGAAAGGGCTGCTTTCCTTTCTGAGACAAAAATAAAGAAGAAAAGGAAGGAAGAGAGGGAGGAAGAAAGAAAGGAAGATGGATCATATCTGTCTTACTTTCCTGGTCAAATGACCTTTAAGAGCCTATTTTAAGAACAGGTAAGTATGATAACATTAGTTAACACAAGCTAAATTTATTAATGAATTCATAAAATTCATAAAAAGATAAAGTGGAAAATAAATGCACTTTTAAAACTTGACAAGTAATTAACACTTTCCTTCAAAATCTCTTACTGGACTAGCCTTACTAGTGGGAAATACAACGATCCTTAGATTGCTGTAAAAAACCTACCTGGACACCATTGAGGGATGCCACCCCCATATACAGGAACACGCCATAGAGTACAGGCATGGGGATAAACTGGGAAGGAAAAGCAATGGAGACAGGTCAAAAACAATAACAGTAAACACAATAATAGGGAGGGGTAGTTTGAATAAAAGCTAAATATGAAACTAAAAGATAGGACATAATAATGCAGTGTGCTTTACTAATCATTGATAAACTTCTAAGCCCTTTGTACTAGAAATAAGTGGAAGGTGAAGGAGACTTTCAATTTCCATTTGATGCCCAACTGAATTTGTTTTACAATGATCATACATGACCTTAGTAAACCTTTTTAAACAGGGAGAAATGTTTGTTTCCCTTTCTGGTGAAAAGGAATGGCTGTGCACACCAGACGCTTGCCTGGACTCTGAGACACAGAAAGAGGGGGAGGTCGCCTCACTCCAGAGACCAAGCTCTTTTCCCAGCAGTCTGTTGATTTTTTTCCTCAATAATTTTCACCAACTGATCTATCAGCTTGGTGTCTGAGTGCTTCTCTCCATTAAGAAAACATCAAACGACTGTCCCCTTTCTTCCTCCCAGGAATATTGAGAACTAACTAATGAGAACACTGCTTGAGAGGAGCATCAAGCATCTGGAAGCAATTACACACAGGGATTCATAAACAGCTTTAGAAATGAATTGACACGTTTCATGTTTTAATTAGCAGGAGTCTTTTTTACATTAATAAATAGTGTTTTAACAATGGGAAATTCACTGTGATGTTCCTAAGTTTTGTTACTCCTGGACCTTTGAAATGGCCTTAGTACTGTAGAATCGAAGCAAGTCAAGGACGACTCTTTCTGAGAAGTCTCCTAGCTGGACTACAAATGGTTCTCAAGCTTCTTTTGCAAAGGAGCTCAAGTAATTTCAGGAGGTTTCAAAGTACTAAAACCACAATCAGTTAAGTCCAACTAGACTTAAACTACATAAAGGAGGCTATTGTAGGCCAGAAAACAGTATGACTTAGGAGTAATTTTTAAAGAACTATTGCATGTGTTAAATGAAGCACAACTTCCATCAGCCTTTCTTTGTGATTACCTAAAACAGCTCTGTATCTGAGATCCTTGGACCACTATTGGAGAAATAGTAAATTCCAAAATGTCACAACTGTCTCCAAATGTTACTGGTTAGTTGTAGGAATTGTTAATTTCAATACAGGTAATTTGACCTTCAGCTCAAAGGAAAATTCTTGACCCTGAGGGACAGTGTGAGTGGTGGGGAAGCCATGTGCACTGTGATACCCAACAGTCACCACGAAGAGGTGGACTCAGATCTCAAACCGCTAGAGATCTGACCTGTGCCTTTACTGCTTTTGGAATGTGCATGTTTCCATTCCTTACCATCACTGTGCAATTTTAGCAAAAAATAAAAATGAAACTAACAATGTCACCATTCTCTAGCTTTGACACATTTCTTAATTTTTTAAAAAAATATCTTCTTTAGGCAAGGGGACTTCCATTCTTCCTTAATATAGAATGATTTCCTTCTTGTCATTTTATTTCTAATATCTCAGGAAGAAAAGAAAGGTAGAAGGGGGAACAGAGAAGTACAGATCATGAGAAACTGGTTAGAACTCTACAGGAGTTACTTTTTGTCTGTAAAGTGTTTTCCTGGCTTGAAAGAAAATAATCACGAAGGTGATCCTGGCCTAGGGCCACCCCTCACCTATGCGTAGCTAATATTATCTCAACTGCAGTGCCGATGCAGTCTGAAGGCAAGCTGTGCCTTGTTGCTTAGGTCTGTTGTTTCTGAACTTTTGATGACAAGATATTACTGACTCTGTTACAAAATAAAATCAGAAGGCATCAGTAACAGAATGGCATGGCGTATAGGCAGGAAAATAGCTTTAGGTATGAAGGTATTTTTCAAAATCATCCCTTGTTGAAAAGGAAACAGTACATACAGGAAGGCTGTTAATTAGATTTTTAGCCAACCTCACCGTGATACCAATGCCTAGTGAAATTTACCATTTTCTTTGCAAAAATGCAGTACCTCAATAAAAATCTCCCAGTTTGGTGAAATTTAACGGAATTCCTGGGTTAGAGGACATTTTTTATTGGATTTGGTTCATGAGTCTTATCAGAAGGTCAGTCTTTAAAAATTCATCACAATACAATCATTCATCGCAATAGAAATTTCCCAAAGGAAGGAAAGAAGGATGTGTTTTTAAAAGATAGGATTCCATTTTAAGTTAAAATAACATAAAATATGTAGTAATACATAGCAGGTAGACATTTCTACAAAGCAAGACAGGAGAAATTAAAACACAAGGTATAATAGGTGTATATTGCAAAATGATAAAATTATGCAAAGAAAATTATATAATCAATTATATCCAGGAAACTAAAAATATAATTATAAATAAATATAATGCATTTAATAAACATAAAAATGAAAAAATCAGTGGTTGATTCTACAAGCAAATAATGAAACTGAAATCAATAAAGATGATTATATTCAGACTAGGTCATATTCAGACTATGTCAGTGAAATTTTCAAATTCTTGGGATTATCATTCCACTCTTTTTCTTTTATCCCTTCCTTTGGTTTTCTGATAATGTTAGATTATTTCCATAAGAAAAAATGCAGTAAGGTGAAGTATAATAAGAAAGGTTACAATCATTCACAGCACAGACTTCAGTACAGGAGTGAGACCTCCCAGAAGAATAACAGAGGTGGGGGGGAGGGTGCGTGCGTGTGTGTATGTGTGTGTGAAACAAGCACTGAATTAACTCCCAATTAAGAGCATGGGTAGTGAAATCAGACATGGGTTCCAATTCTCACTCTGCCTGTTGTGGAACGTGGAGAAAATCATCAACTTCTCTTACTCTCAGTATTCTCATCTGTGTAAGTGGTTATACTAAAGATTAGATAGCACAAAACATCTAGTTCAGGGCCTGGCAGATAACCCTCAATAAATGATAAATATGGCATTGATGTCATTATCATCAGGACCTTCACTGGCAACTCAAAAACCTGCAACTGCAAAGTGCAATTCTCTTTGGCCTCTCCGTGGTGGGAGCGGGGGTGTATGGGGAGGGGCACGGAACAGGAGTATAGCCCAGAAGGATGGCTGCAAAGATCAGACTTGAGCCTTGGTTTTGTGTAAGCTCTATAATATTGCTCTTTCAACTATAACAGCTGGCTTTAAGAGCATGTTATTAAAATAATATCCTAATGCCCTTAAGCCTTAAAAATCTGGCCTAGTAAGAAAGGCGCTGACTTTCCCATCAGTACACAGTAAGTCCTTGGTAATAATAGCTTATGCAAAATTTTCTCACTGATAATACTCCAGGTGTTAATATTGAAAGTCAGTGTCATAGATAACACATGGAGAGGAACAAGAGAAGATGTACCAATTTCGACAGTTGAAGACAACATTGTTTCTCAACCAGTGAAAATACTAAACTTTTTAAGAAAACAGAAATATAATGCTGATTATGAACTTTCAGCAAAGCAAGGGGCAGATACACAGGCTTACATGGCTCTCCTTGAAGAGAAGTGTCTTCCTGCAGTGCTTCTCACATTTTGGGTGGACAGTGATCATTACTGATTGTGACAAAGCCATCATTTGCTTCACAAATTTCCTTTCCCTTGAGTCTGATCCTTCCTAGAAGAATGTCTAAGGGAGTACTGACCAGGATTCTCCTGACCAGAGCAGAGCCTCCCTTGTACCCTCTCCCCTCTCCCCAAAGTGGAAGCACAAGTATCCAGAGATGCCAAGGACACCCAAATCCTCTGTCAAAACAGACTGGGAACATTTCAGTTGGGGTTGGTTTCTTTTTTTTTGGAGATACACCTTCCATCTTGCATGCCTATGTTTGCTTTACTTGAACCTCTTTATAAAGTATGCTCCCCTAAGGGTCAGTTACAAGGGTCAGTTACAAGAACATGTGAAAGAGCTCTCCAATCTGCACTGATTTTGGGATGACATCCTAAACCGTTATTTTAGCCTTTGTCTTGGAGCATGTTCCTGTGTGAACAGAAGTCAGTAGCAGACAAATTTGGGTGAGGTACACTGCCATGATTCCACTATTTGAAAACTGACTGCATTAGACTGGAGGCATCACTCCTGCTGGACAAGACACAGTAGATGCAAATCTGCAGAAACTCACACTACTTGTAAATGAGGAATCCAACATGACAGAAAAGATGGATGACAATTTTCGCCAAAGCCCTGAGCTTTCTCCTTGGAAACTGACAACACTTAAATTGACTCCAGCAGAAGAAGAAAGCAATTCCTTACAATGGCTGTCACCCTGACAGACATTGTGTTTTGTGTCCGAAAAATCATATAACTATGGCAGTAATCTTTTATACTGAAGTGTGTGAAGACAAAGAGAAAATGCCATTAATTGGTATGAGGATGACTCTAAAGTGAGAGAAACTTTCTATGACATCTGTTTTTTTTTAATTAGAAAAGTTGTGTTGTAGCTTGGCAATACACTTCAAATGCCATCAAAATAAATACTAAATGAACTTGGGAAAAAAGCAAACACATTGTAATATATATACCTGCCTTAATCTTGACAGACTTTTGCCTTTGCTTCACATGTTGCTGGCCAAAAGCTATAATTCTGTTCTGAACGTGCACTCTTAATTTATTCAAGCTAGTTTCTTTATTTAGTTTTCTTAGACCAGTATGAATATATCTAATATGTGGCTCTGGCTGGGGCCCTTTTCTGGTGTTTAGAAATTTGATGACTAATTTAGACATTAAAAAAAAATACATTATCCTAATATTCTATTTACTTCCGCAGAAAAGCCTGTATTTTACAGTAAAAACCAATGAGGAATGTGCTTTTTAATCATGCTCTCAGAAAACTAACCTTTAGGGGGGTGAGTACAATGTATAAATAGTAAAGGTGGTGATATCTGACACTTACCTGACTGTACGCACTTCAATGTTACGTTAGTATTTGCAGATGTGTTCAGCCTAGGTTAGTAAGGGCTCTTTGAGTTTATTGGGTGGATGTGCCAGCATTAGACCCACGTATCTGTAGTCTATCTTCAACTCTGGTCATCGCTTTCTTAGA